GCGCGCTTGGCAGACACCAAGACGCTAGGCCCGGTTAGAAACGGTGGCGTTAAAAATCACGTGAGAGAGCTCGGGAACAAAACAGAAAAAACGAGAAAGATCCGCGGGTGTTTTATAAAAAGGGCCGCCGGCAGTATTGGACAAATTCAAGGACCTATCAAGTTTTTCAAGGACCTAAGACGTTTTTCAAGCACTTTCAAGGACCTAAATTTAGCAAAAAAAAATTCAAGGACTCTCAAGGACTGTGGGAACCCTGTAATTGCTCTCCTTGGTAATTTTTTAGGGAAAACTATTAAATCTTTATAATTTGCTATTCTTCATGCTAAAGAATTAAAACTGATGTTAAGTAAGATTTTAGAATTAAATATAATTTTTTTGTTTCTATCAAGCATATTTTAGCACTCAGAGGCTTCTGTATTTTTTTTAAAAATTATCTTTTAATTAATTTTAGCAAGCCATTTTTTGACATACTTTAAAAAAAAAAATTCATACACCATTTCAGTGTAGATTTCGTAACACAATTAGAGGTATTGCTCTGCAAGAAAATTCAACTTGTGCTACCCATTTTCTGTTCAATTGATGGGCAATAGGTTTTCTACATTTTTTAAGAATCAGTAGACTTTATGGGGCCCAGGGAGAAAAAGCCAAAGTTTATTGCCATAGCCGAAGACTTCCCACATCATTCAACTTTTCCCTTTTGATGTCTATTCTTAATTTTATTGAATCCATTTTTTTTATATCGTACAAGAAATATGTGATATAAACGAATGGAGCAGTAGCTTATATTGAGAGCTATGCACAAGGAAAGGAGATTAGAAAAGAAAGGAAATGGATGACCTTACATTCTACTGGCATGGCATGAGAAAAGATGATTTCTTGTCCAATAGCAAAGGGGAGGCTCATTAAAGACATGAGAAGAGTTTGGATATAATGATGAATTTTACCAGATTTTTCCAGGCTACATAAAAGATACTGATTATCGAGAAAAGCTAGAAATACAATTATTGCTATTTTCAGAGAAAATTGGTAATCCAAGTTGTATTTTCTACCAGGTCAATGCCTTCAATCACATTGCAAAATCTTCAGGAGAATGGTTTTTGGATAACAGGTTTCATATCATGGAACAGCTTGCCCTTTCATCTGATCTCAATTCTCAATAAAAGAAGAGGGAGTATCTACAGAATGACTATATAAGAGGAGAACAGGTAATGTCAGTCTGTTACAGAGTTGAAGTAGTGATTCAGCATATGTCTTACAGCACACCAAATACGCAAAAAGTAATAGAGGGGATGCCTTAAAAAAGCTAGGATGCATAATTCTACATCAACATTAATTTTAAAAAAAATAGTTAGTGCACTAGCTGATTTATGAAGGCAAATAAATAATTAAGTAAACAAACTGAATTTTAAAAAGTAAAAAAAAAAGAATAAGTTTTCATTTTTTTCTGAATTAATAGCAAGAGAAAATGGAAATAATTTTCAGCATCAAATTACAATGTTGCTTTTCCTTAGTGTAGGTGTTAAGATGAGTCCTGCTTTAAAGCCTTAACTGTTCAAAATAACTCTTTCCTTGTTTAAATATCTTGTTTTGTCCTTCAATAGATAGAATAATTATAAATGTGCATATTAATAGTTGAATAGAGTTATATAAAATCTTTTTTCTTCATCTTAGAGAATTTTTTCACTCTCCTTTCTCTACATTTTGGTGGGTGAGTGGTAGGTTCTATCCTCGGACTGGGCAAGGTTGACCAAGCCTTTCATCCCTACAGTGTGTCGATAAATTAGTACTCAGAGAATGCTTGGGGACTAAATACTGGGGGTTCTACATTCGACTAACCTCCCAACGAGAATAACTGCTCTTGCATCCAGTCCAAGGTCAAAAATGCTGGGATTGAAACAGTAAACCATGGCCCTTTATGGACTGTTATGCCACTGAATTAAGTTTTACGCCACATTTTGGTAAGCCATGTAGTAAATGATGAGCCACAACATATATTATAAATGATATAGGAATATGATGATTATTAACAGTAGTGGCTTTATTTTGAACAAGATATTCTTCTTCCTTTTTTTTATATATTCAACTTTTTTCGACCAGGTGGGGCGAGAAGTTGCTTGCTGTAAATCAACATTTGTATATTAACTTTTTCAATGTATGTGCATTGCTCTTTGATTGGCTTTCGATTTAAGTGGCTTTATTTCAGTGGGGCACACCTTATTATAGCTGTTTTTCTCTTAATTACTTTTATACAAGCAACAATTGCTATAATGTTTTATTTTTATTAGCCTTTTTATAGTTTGGAAAAACCAAAAATTTCAACATTAAAACTAATTGTAATTAAGTAAGCATTAAGAAGCAGATTTTTTTATGTTCCTTCTTAGCATTTTCTCATTAAGTCTTTTTATACAATTTCTTTTACGGTTTTTTCTGTCATAGTCATTATTTAAAAGAAAAAAAAAATAGGTGTGAAGTTCAATGGACTTTTAGTGAGGCGCGTTTTTTTTTTTTTTTGAGGGGAAGGCAATTTTTTTTCTCAAGTATCTGGAATTTCCTAATCTTCAGGCACTCCAAATATTTAAAGTTTTACTCTAAAATTTAACTTATCTTTTCTAATTTTTTTGTCACTTTCTACTAATGAATCTAATATCTATTAACTTAATTATGGTGGCTTAGAATGTAGAAATATTATGGAAGGAAGACATTTTAAAAGTTGGTTGACAATGAGTAGTGGGTAATAATTTCATAAATGGGTTTTAATTAATAACTGTAAGAAAAAAGAAATAAAATTTAAATAAATATAAATGAGTCAAAATGAATAGGAGCAGATTTGTTATACTTACCAGTTAATATAGGTGAAAAATAAGGACTTGTTTTTGTTAGAATCTAAAGAAAAAAAATTAAATAGATCTTAATTTTTTATGAAATAAATTACTAATTTGAATTAATCTATAAAATGATAGACTTAAGAGGTTGGGAAGCTCTGAAGAGTAAGGCACATCGACCAGAGGTCTATTTTACCCGAACCCTAGATCATGACTAAAGGCTTTATAGCTGAAACCAAGTTCAGCAAACAACTTACAAGAATGTCCTGTTGTTCCCAAGTCCTAATGCAATGTTGTCCCAGATGCTCAAAACTTAGAGCAAAAAACACTTCACACTCACAAAGAATATGTCGTGAAGTCTCTTCCTCAAGATGACAATCACGACAAAGAGGATCGGATACATTACACATAATGTAAAGGTGTCTCCAGGATATACAATGATTATTGAGAAGACTAATGATCGTCCTCAGGCTATTTTTGCTAAACTTGAGCTCTTTTTGATGTACACCGGAACAGTCAGGATTTAACTCCTTAGCTTGTCTCTGACTGTCCAAGCTGCACCGCTGCTTATAGACAATGCTGTTATTGAGCTTGAAAATAAATGCCCAATGTGGGAAAGATTCCCAAAGCTGTGGGAAAGGATTGGGATGTGGGAAAGATTCCCAAAGCTGGTACAGGGCTGCAAAAAATCAAATTGGAGCCGGCCCTTTAATTTTATCAGCCAACTATCTATAAAATGATACTTCATTACTGGATCAAATTTAAAAATTAAGTCTCTTTTTAACTACGTTAAAATGTGACTTTTTATTGCCCCTTTTGAAAGAATGGTTAAATTTTGTTAGTTTCTTTTCCTATTAGTTAGATAAGGTAATGTCAATTCATTTTAGTATCCAAATACTAATTTAAACCTCATTTTTGCAAAAATTGTCAACTAATCCAAACTATTTTCAAATTTTTCCACGTGTTTATTGTATTTGCTGCATAATTGATTATTTAGCTAAATTTACAACAAATAATTTTCTAAGATATGCAGGAACAGAGACTAAATAAAATTCCTGAAAACAGTATGTGCCAGTCTAACTATAAGTGTGAGGTGTAATTAAAAGAAAGTTAAAATTAAGAAAATTAAAATTAAACAAAGAAAATTAAAATTAAGACAATTTATCACAAAACCACCTTTAAAAAATTCTGAGACTGTTTTCACTTCAAATCTATTCCTGTATTGAAGTAATGAATCCTTGTTGTGAAGTTTAAAATATTATATTTATTATTTGCATATATATACTATGATTTCCTGTGAAATGACTATCGCCACTTATATATTATTTAAATTAATTATTTGATATCTTACTGTGTTATTTGGACCTTGAACTTTAACTTGAACATAACCAGTATAGTTTGTACTTGGTGCTAAGCTTCCATCTTGTACTAAATCTATCTCACGTAAATCTTTATTGGAAAGAGAGTCCTGTATAATATGGCGCCTTTTATCAGATGGTGCTGAATTAGAATCACAGTAACGCTGATGGTTATCACCAATGACAACTTCACTTACAAAATCATCACTGCAATAAATATATAAAAATTAGGATTATTTGAGGCAATACTTGTAAAATGCAAGCAATAAAACTTAGATACAAACCTAGTAAATGCCTCAGCAACATAAGCTCCATGGCCATCATTTTTATGAACTTTTTCATGAGTAGATAACTTAACAGATTGGGGATTGTCAGGTAATTTGCTAAGATTTTGCCCCTTTGGTAATTTTATTATTACAACTTTATAGCACCTTAAATAAAAAAAATAATATTCAGATATAAAATAAATTTAAAAAATATAGAAGTAGATTAAAAATGGCAGTAGATTTTTCCTTAAAAACAGCAAACCTTATTATAAAAAAAAAAAAAAAAAAAAAGTTTTTTAAAATTACAGAAGAATGCAAATGATAAAACTAATAATTAATAAACTATACTATACATTATAAATATTACATCAGTCTATACTTACAAAATTAATCCATTTCTTTCTGAAACTCTTTGTAATTTCAACTCAAGCTGCCTACAATCATTGGAGTTATTTTTGCGATGCATATAAAATTGAGGTAAAACTGCTGGTACTGTTAATTAAAATTAAAAAGCAAAAATTAGTTTACCAAACATTAAAGTTAACACAAAATATTTAGCACATTTTTAATATGCATTCATGGGAAATGTAAGTTATTTTAAAGAAAAATAAAAAGAATTGTATGCACATACTATGAGATTTATTTTAATAGAACCAATTTCATTAGGTCTATAATTTGATTATGTACTAATATGTCTAGGTTGTCTTGTTTTGATACTGTACATTATACACTAAGTTGAAATGTATATTTAAGTTTTTATAAAAGTTCATTTTGAAATATGCATAACATATTTCCCAACATTTAAAAACTAAACTATTATCGCATTTACTCTTTTTTTCAGTAAATCAGGGGTGATTGTGACACAAGGAGAAAAATCCTGAAAATTTTATGTGTAACAAATCAATATCAATTTATATATCATACATGTTTTGTATGTAACATAATTTTTTTAAAAATTAGATTTATAATTAAATTACCGACCAATGAAGAATATCAGACTTTTATAGTAACTAATTTAAGAAAAGTCTTCGTTCTTACAAGAATCATGATGTTGGTTTTAAAATCCTGTGAATATGAATAGCGTTATTGGATTTTAATATCGCGTGAACATGAATAGCGATATTGGATTTCAAAAACACGTAAATACAAATCACTATGCGTAGCTTTTAAATTAAGTAAAAATATGAAAATTGGTGTTTGATAATACAAATCGGTGTTTGTTAATACAAATTGCAAAATTGATTTTAAAAATGTGTGAATACAAATAGTGACATTGGATTTTTAAATCATGTGAATACGAATTGCAATGTGCAACTTTTAAATTAGGTAAATACAAACAAACATTGGAAAATTCAAACTGCATGAAAAAGAATCGCGATATTAGCGGATTCCAGTATAGTTCCAAATATTCTAAGTGGCGAAAATCCGCCAAACCAAAAAATCATATCAGAGGAAGAATTATATGTATATAAGCATCTTGTTAGCGAAAATTAGCAATAATTTCAAAATTTGAATTTTAGAATGAGGGATTCTATGAAAGTTTTGTCGGAATTTAAGTTTTTGAATAGTGAAAGTCGGAGAAAGAATGGTCTTGAGAAATGCGGAATTCCGCGATATTCCTGGAAAGATCATATGCCCTGCTCCTAATTTTCAGAAGGATAATACAAAAAATACAGAATTCCGAGGTATTCTCGGACTACAAGCACCCCTGGTAAATAAAAATCATTACAATAATCGGTAATTTTTTTATACCACAACTTTGAATTAAGAGCACATTAAAATCTATTTTTAGAGATTCCCTCTAGATATTTAAATGTTTTGATTTTATTAACATTTGTTATTATTTTTCACACTTTCTTTTACGTTAATACATTTAAATGTATGAGGCTAAGAAAAAGAGTCTTGGTAATAAATTAAATCAATTAATAGCAGCCAATACATGGATTCCTTAACTTTTCTTAGTGCAAACTATTATAATATATATATGACACTTGCATTTTTGATTTCTTGATAGACAGAGGTGTTGTGTGGAACTTGCCCCAGCCCTTCAGCCTGTTTTCAAAATTCATTATTTAATAACGTATATTTATATTAAAAATTAAGAATACCAATTTTTATCTTGGAGCTCCACATTTGTAAAAACAAAAGATTTCCATTATTTATCATATTTGATTCTTCTTAAAAACAACTTATGATTTTTAATAAATAATTGTTTCTCTTCATTACTCTGGATAACAGAACAATTAGACAAAAGGATAATAATGTTTTGCAATGATTCATCCATATATTTTCCTTGAGCGCCGTTTTTCATGAACAACCAATTTTTGTCAACTAGTGTTAATCATCACCTACAGGATAAATATTCTACTAATACTGCCTTCCTCCAACATCTTTAATTAACAAAACACCAAATTTTCCTCATAACAAATTTGGTGCCTATACAGAGAAACCACATTTAACAATCTTCAGCTTTTCATTTGTGTATGCAGCATGCTATGTTCACATGTTTTTAAGACAAATTAGACAAAACTATGGAATGAACTACTGAAATATAACTACTGAAGAGCTTCAATATTTTTCATCCCCCCTTGGTCTACAAAAAAAAAAGAAAAAATTATGTCAAAAAATTGTGTTGGATTATCAATAGCTTAGATTAGTAGAGCTTTGGATTTTACATTTCATCTCTGCCTTTACATGTGACTTTGAGAAAACAGATTTGAGTGTAGATATGCCTCCATGTAAAGAATATAACAAACACCTTTGTCCATAGATAAAAATGAGTACAGTGTAACGTCCCATATCCGGACGTCCCTTTTCCGGAAGGGTCGATTACCCGGACACTTTTTAACAATCAAAATAAACAAAAATTTTTTCATCTTCCCGTCTCCTTTTAAAAAAAAAAAACGAAGTCTTTTGACAGGTTTTTCCCCTTCTCAGCTTCTAGAGATCTATGCATTGAACCCATAAATCAACAGAAAAGAGAACAGAAGATATACTAAGACCATGAGGCTCCTCCTCTGGAATGTAGGAAAGGGGGGGGGGTGTTTTCAAAAGAGCACAACCGAGTCCCCTCCCTCCCCCTTCTTTCCTATGCAGCTGGCTAGTAAAAGAGGCATTTCCTGGAACCTTTTTATTTGAGTGTCAGGGGAAGAAGAAATACTGTGAAAAAGGGTAAACACAGCAAATGTTAAAGTGGAGGGGGAATCCCCTTTAGTCACACAAGAAAAAATAAAGAGAACCCAATCAGCATGCCACGCCTTTATGCTTGATTGATAGCCAATGACAGGAGAGAAAATAAGAACTTGTCACTTCCCCCCCTTCAACTTGAATGACAAGTAAGAAGGAAATGAATTTTGCTTCTTCACCTACCCACCTTAATGAATGAATGACGGGAATTTCCCCTTCTTGCTTGAAACGTTCTAGTTCAAAATGGCGGAGAGAGCAATTAATATTTTCATAACTGTAAATTTTTTTAGTTTCCTATATTTATTTTTATAATAGCAATAATTATTTTTTTTTAAATATTTTGTTTTTGATTGATTAGATATCATTCTAATACTAAAACATTATTGCCCGAAAAATAATGTTATTTAATTTCTGCTTCTTAGATTCAGATCATTTTAATCTCTGTTTACCTTGGGGGTCTATTATACGGAAAAATCGATTATCCGGACTTCGGAAAGTCCCGCCGATTCCGGATATGCGACTTTCCACTGTATTTAAAAAAATGGGCATAGTTTAAAATGTGACTTTTCCGAGTTAAAGAATAAACCAAAATTTTAAAAATCAAGCCCAAGTCATTTTTAATTAAGCTTATATATTTAAATACTAAGCATAATCATTACTGAGCAAACCTTTGAACTTTAGGGTTGTGGTGACTGAATATATAACAAATGTAGCTTTTCTGGTCATATAATTGAATTACCAAATAAAAGCAAATCAGTGTTGGTTTCTTTGAAAATCTTTATTTTCCCAAAACATTCTTCTAAAGTAAAAAAAAAAAAGAAAAAAAAATTAAATATCTTCAGAATCTGAAAAAAATTCTTGCCTTTGCAGTGCCAAGGATTTATGGAAAATTTAACGATTGAGAAAAAATATTGAAAAACAGCATTCCTATAGGTATTACAAATTTTAAAAAATTAGAGACGAAAATAAATCTTGTTAGTTTGATATATTTTTTTTACTGCTAATGCATACTATTTTTGAAGAAAATATATTTGTATAAGAAATTTTAATTTTCAGATCTCAAAATATTAAAGTGCCATTGAAAATGAAGTTTTTAGTAGTACGTATTTACCTATACTTACTATCACTATAATTAATTTAAGGTCAGTGGGAACCCAATAAAAAGACCTTTAAAATCTGTTGAAAAAAAAAGACATTCAAACATGTACTAAATATTCTATGCATTTGACAAATTTATTGGAATTCACTGTTTAATTCTTTTAATAAATGGTGCTCATAAAAATAGATTGAAAAGCAGAATTAAATGCAATGTCCGATTTCTAAGACATACATATTGAGACATGCCAATCTTTTAAAATATCAAATCTTAAATAATCAATCTGAAATTAATGTTAGAAAAAAAAATAAGAAGTTGTCAAAATCGGATGAGGAAAGCAAGGGATTGTTCTAAAACCAATTTATTTGACATTTTTCGATTTTTATTTTTGCATTATGATTCACCTCAATTCATAAAATTTTAGAACAAGCTTTTTTTCTCCCCTTAATATTAATTTTTAACAAGAATTCTAGTATATATAAAAAAAATATAACTATGGTGTATAACTATGGTAAGGGTCACTATTTTTTTTCCAGAAAAATTTAAATGTCAGAAAGAAAAATTTTGGTACATCTTTTAGGAAATATTTGCTATATGTTCTTTAACTTTCGTCAATTTCTATATCAATTAAACAAAAACTACAGGTAATATTTTAACTTTGTAATACACACCAATAATATTAAATTTGATTCTGTTTTATTAAGATTTGTCATATTGCTTACTTGCAACTCATAACAAGTCAATTCACTCAATTTCATAATAAAAGAGCACTTGCAGAAAATAAATCAACCATTAATTCGTTATTTAATAAAATAAAAAAAAATAACGAGATAGTGGCAGATGGACTACTGTGCTGTTGTAGTTTTAAAGGGAATTCCCCTAATATACACAGCACTAGATTGGGATAAAAAAAATCATTTTGCTCTGTCAGGAATAATGGGTAACCAGAGAAAAAAATGAATGAAAACTTTTTTCGGAAGTCCCTAACCACAAATATTGTGGTTAAACATATGATCATATGCAAAAATAGTTACAAGAATGAAGAGACAATTATGTACAATGTGGGGGGAAAAATGGACCACCTGAGCAACTTTTAATCTAATAATCTGATTTTTACACACTAAGATCTTACATCTTAATAGTTTGAAGGCCTAACGTTAAATATGCCAATTAATTAAAACAGACAATATTTTGAGTGACAAAATCAGATTAAAAAAAGTATACGTTTAATAAACATAAATTTTTTCAATGGATTTAAATTTTTTACTTCCCATATTTTGGGGTTGGATCAGGGGTTAGACCCCTTTATGTTGATTTTACTTTTTGAAAATTTTGTCACATCCTAAGAAGTTTTTAAACAAATTGAAAAATTTTACAATTGTGTGAAATACATAATTATAGAATTTGTTTATCCAAAGATAATGCAAAAGAAAAAAAAAATAATAATGATTCTTTTGTACTTTTTAAATTTTTATTTAATAACAGTCAAAAACAATTTTGAATTTTAAGGTGCAAAATTTTTACACAATTTTAAATGGTAAAAGACAAAATTGAAATTTAATCAGTGGAATAGTTATTGAGAAATACGCTAGTTAATTATTTTTATTTGAAAATGGAGAACAAACATAAGAAAACTCTGTAGAAAAAGTACTATACCTTTTAGAGTATTCCTAAAATGAGGAATTAAGTGAGTTGAAATAAATGTAAGAAATTTTTTTTAAAGAAATTATCTTACCATTTGTAAGAGATCTGCAATAAGTATTTTCTGTCAAATTAGATAAAGGTCCACATCCACTCCTGTTAATGGTGCACATTTGAGCAGTATATTCTGTGTTAGGTAACACATCTGTCTTGTACTCAAAACTAGTGGATTTGGCATCAATTATTTCTATTTTTGAGGCTTTTTCTTCTACTTCCTGACCATTTTCATTACGATATTGGGCATTTGTAAATAAAGTTACCTAAAATTTAAATTACTTCTTAGCAAATATTATAACATACTATTTCAAAATAAATTAAATAACATTTCCCAATACTTCAAATGTTTAAATCTTTTGTCTGAAAATAACCAATATTGTTAAAATAAAGAGTTTCTTGCTTTTATATCTTTCAAATTTCTTATTAAAATAGTTTTTCAATGAAGGATTCAAATATCAAAATTACTATAAAGAGTGGAATTTTTAAATATTTTCTAAAAGTCAATGAATATAACAGTCTAAATGCTATATCTCTGGAAAAAAAAGCTGTGTGATATTAAAGTCAACATTTACTTTATATTATAACCTCAACAAAGAATAACTAACCTTTGCTATAAATTAAGCAAATATAGCACACAAGAGAAAAGCAGCTTTTATTGTAAATTTTTACTATTTTGGTTTAGTTACTTCAGGCAGAAAAATTAGCAAAACATTATGGCACTCCCACCAAATTTCGAGAAATTAGAAGGAATGAAGAAATTTAGAGGATTTACATAAATTTTTCTTTTTTAGTTTATCTTACAGTGGATCACCTTTCATTGCCGTAATTCTGAATAGTTAAATATTTTTTAAAATAATGTTATTAATTAACTTGGTGTTGAAAATACAATAGATCAAGAAACATGACAATTAAAATTTAAAAGAAATGTGATGAAATATAGCATAAACTCTTGTATTTAGTAGCTAACCATTTCTTTTAAATAACACAACAGTAAGTTTCTAATATGCTAATATGTTCTAAATTTTTAAAAATAATATAGTTATTTTATCTAATTTACTTATAGCTATATATTCCATGTAAGTTTATTATTATTTGATAAGAAAAAGTAATTTGTGCATTATTCAAGTACATTTGAACATTTAATTAAGATTGAAAATTCTTAAAAAAGTTTTTAAAATAACCTAATTTTAAACCTTTATTGAATCTTACCATTGCTTATGCTATATTTAAAGATAGCTAGATAACAGTATTTTTATAAACTCTTGAAAGCTACAAAGTTTAACTTATAAAAATAAACTTGAAAAATGATTTTGATCATTCATTAATAAACATTCAGAGTTAGATGAAAATTAAATAAAATTACATTTAAGTTTCTAAGTTCAAAAAAAAAAAAAGAAAGGGAAAATATTTAAATTTTATTTATAAATATTTTTCCATTGCATTCTTTAAATAAATTATAAACCAAAAATATATTAAGAGCTGACACTAAATCCTCTAACACAAACTATTTAAATTAAATTATAGATAACTCACTGGTTCATTGAAACTAAAACATGCAATTACATAACTTATAATTAAAAAATTCTAATAAATTTCCTAATTCTAGCTTTGTTCATTCAAAGCTTTTATACTTACATTGTAACTTAATATTGTTCCCCTAGCATTTAATGGGGCCTCCCATGTTACACAAATGAAATCAGTATCTCGATCATAGTCATGATCACATGTTATCTGAACATTTCTTGGAGGATCAGGCACTAAAAAGACAGAATTTCAATAGTGAATATAAATAATTAAACATAAACAAGAAAATATTTAGTTATTTTCTGCTATTAAATTCAGTGATTACTATCAGCAAAACTGTAACACATGACAAGAGGTATATAAGCATACAATATTAACAAAAATGCAATTTAATATTTTTAATTTTATTTTAATATTTAAAATAAAAATTATAAATCACTAAAAGTGACTTCAATGAGGCTGGTTAAAGGACAGTGCTCACAAGTTTGTTTTAAAATGGCACACTATGTTTTAAAAACATAACACCATTTTCCAGAACATATCATATGTTCTTGCAGAAAGTTTTTTAACACTATTTATCTCAACCAGAGAGCAGAAGTTTTCTTCATGAAGGGACTTTCTTAGTGACAAAATAGGTAGAAAATTGAGAAGTTGAAGATTGGTGATTATGGTGGATGGAGAAAATATCCCAATCAAGCTCTAACAATTTTTACAAATTGTCAAAAAGGGAGGATATCAATTGTCTTAATAAAAATGCTCTTTCAATTTGTTAAATTTGAAAATTTTTGTTTTATTGTATGTCATAAATTAGTGTAATTGGGAACAATAATTTTCGGAATTTATTTTTTTTGCTTAGTAAACACTTATAGTAGGATTCCTTTAATAGCTAATTAGACACAGAACATAATCTTTTTCAATTAGAGACTTGTTTTTGGATTGAATAAAGATGATCTATTCTACTTTTCCCAAAACATTTCGTCACTAGATTGAAATAAATAAGAAATTTTTTACCCCCTTTATTACTTGAATCAAAAATAGTGTCTCCTTAATATGCTTATAGAGAGAGTCACAAATGATAAATGTGATTCACCACTTTAGTTGCATCTTGTTCAAATGAAGAGCATACCCAGCTGTGGTTTCTTCAAAAGATATTATTATGGTTCCACTATTAATCTTTCGATAAGCTCTTTTGATCAAGAAAATCAAAATATAAAATTTTGGAAAAAAAGTTCAGAAATTTTAACAGACTATATTGAATTGTCAATGCCATTTTAAAAAATCTGCTGTTTTTCAAGTGCAAATAGCCAGCTCATGGTACATTACAACATCCATATTATTTTATTCATTAGGTTTGCTGCACAAGGCAGAAAAATTACGCTAGTAAAAAAAAAAAATTTAAATAGAAAATGCCCCTCTTACTTATTCAATATGCACACCCTCCCCAAATAGATATAAGTAGAACTATGTCTTGTGGCTCTTAAAAAAATTTTTTTTTCATTAGTCTCAACTCAAATAAATTTTAATGTTCTCACCTTATACAAAAAGACATATTTCACCAGTCTGAAAACATAAATTAATAAACTAATGAGATGTTGATATATTTTAATATCTTTGTATAACAGAGCCCCCAAAAAATGAAAAGCTCTAGGGCTATTTTTTTTCTTCAAATATGTATTATATTTACAGTTTAACGATCTTACACGGCCACATATAAACAACAGTAACCACTTAAAATGACTAAATGATAGATGTCATTTTCAAAGTACTAAATCTGTGAAATTACACTCTAGAAACCTGCTTTAACAAACTTCTTAACATATACCAAATTAAATACAGAAAAAGATTTTTCTTAAAAAAATAAAAAAAAGCTTTAAGAAACATGGTGAACCTGATAAGTGAATAAAATATCGAAAATCATACATGGAAATCTCTCACATTGCGCTATAAAACCTTTTTTGAAAACAGAAGAAATTACTATGAAAAATTTGGCTATAAATGACAAAAAGTGAATGAATGAGAGTTTTGAAAATAAAACCATTATTCAGAGCACATATAATAATTGAATTCTAAAGGGGAAAAAAGAGTTCCCTATAAGTAATGTGCGGCGTTAATTTAGACTGTGAGGCTCTTCTTCAAATTCTCCTTCAAGTTTATTTTTAAAAAGGGTCAGTCAAAACGTTTGTGATGATGATGATGACTGACGATCAGTTTTGGAGCTTTTTGCAATTTGCAGCTTATAGCTCGCTTATATACAAGGTAGAGAAAATGAGTGGATGGTGATTATAGCAAGTGGATGGATTTTAGGTATTGCATAACATATAGTATCTTGCGTTTGTCCAATGTGTTCATTAGGTATGAAAAAGACAAGGTCCCAAGTCCTAGCTGTTTTTTGAGGGTGGTACGCTGTTGGTTAAATAGAGGGCAAACTAAAATAATGTGATCAATTGATTGATTGGTTGTTAATTTACGTCGCACTAGAGCTGCACAATGGGCTATTGGCGACGGTCTGGGAAACATTAAAACTTTTTTTCCGAAGACATGCCATCACAATTTTGATCCTCTGCGGAGGGGATGGCACCCCCGCTTCGGTAGCCCGACGACCTGCGCGCGAAGTCGAGCACTTTACGGTAGCACAGTTTAACGAGGACCAATACCGCACACCCTCGGTCCCTACGCAGACTGATCCAAGTGGTCACCCACCCGCACACTGACCGTAGCCAGTGATGCTTGACTTCGGTGATCTGCTGGGAACCGTGTCTTAACGATCAGTCCACTGCGGGACGTGATCAATATCGGAGATTGAACCACAGTTGCATTTGTTGACTGGAGCGAGTCCAAAACGAAAAAAATTTTGCTTTTGTTGGATAGGATCTAGTGCGGATTCTAGAGAACGTAACGTCTTGATATCTGCAGGAGAGGAGTAGAAGTTCGTTTTTATTTTGGCTCAGATGAAGAAAATCAGTATAGTATTTGATATTCCTGAAGGTTGATTGCCTGGATTGTTGGTGAATTCGTTTAATTGATTGATAAGTATCTTCTATGGTGAATCTATCGTAAATTCTAGGTCTGGAAAGCGCTGCCTTTGCCAGCTCGCCGGCAATTTCATTACCGAGAATCCCGCAGTGGCCAGAAACCCATGCTATATCTATAGACTGGCATGAAGATGGGAGCTCTTCCATCAAGGGTATGATTTGGTGTATGATCCCTTGTGGAGGGTCTGTAGTAGAATTTAGAGCTGTCAGAACAGAGAGTGAATCTGTTAAAATTGTAATTCGAGAACTTATAGGTCATTTTTGAAACGCTAATAATATAGCTATTCCCTTAGCTGTGAAGTCAGAGCAAATGGAGGGAACAGATCCAGACATCGCTGACCCGGAGCGGGAGTTGTAGATTGCCACTCCTGCCTTGTCTGAAGTTCGGGAGGCATCTATATAGATCAGAGTGTGGTGTGGCCAATTATTGCTGAAGAAGTCACAGAATATGGTAGGTATTAGGTTCTGTGGTAGATTCTTGTTTTGAAAGGGAAGATTTGAGAGATGTATACGGACTTTTGAGGGTATTTTCGGAATTCGATGGTACATTTTAATCATATGATCTACGGTTATGCCGTGTTCGTTTAGTCAGTTTTTAGCTTGTAGGGGGAGAGCTGATTTCCTGTAGGTATTCGGAATGAGCCGATTCCGGTACGTTATTGCACTTAGTGACTGATAATGGATTTGTCGGACGTAAAAACGCAAGGAGATCGTGTTATGGTATTCTTGGAGACTCAGACAGCTTGCCTCCTGATAAAGTAGCGGTAGTGGAGTTCATTTCGGAAGGCCCGTAGCGATCCGCAAAGCAGCATGGTACACCTATCTTGCGTTCACTTTTGCTGGCGAGGTACTGCAGGTGACAGCCAAAATCTAGGGTAGGCGTATTGTATGACTGGACAATTCGGAGTAAGTGGAAGGAGCGTGATCCCCAGAAGTTTCTTGATATACATTTTAGCATGTTAAGCTTTTTTAGAGGGGAAGTTCGTTTTTCCTGAAAATGATGGCGGTAGCTGAGGTTCGATGAAAAGTAGATCCCTAGAATGCGGATATGTGGCGTCCATATGATAGTTTCTCCCTGAAAGGGCAGGATGGGAGGGGATTCGATGGCTCTATAGGAGAAATCTATTGCTCAACATTTCCCAATATCAGCAGAAAGGTGCCATTCTGCTAACCACTTCTGTAGACGTGGAAGGGATAGCTGAATTTTGTGGGTTAGAGACGGCAGGTTCAGGGAATAGATAAGAAGGAATATATCGTCTGCGTAGATAAAACAGTTGACGCCGTCGGGAAGGATATAAAAGATGTCATTTATATATAAGATGAAGAGGAGATGCGATAGCACTGATCCTTGTGGAACACTTCTACTGCTGCTAAAAGACCTAGAGTACGTATGCTTCCAGCTCACTCGAAAGGATCTATCCATGACGAAGTCACATATCCACTTATGAAGAGATCCCCTGATGTTATGTAGTAAGAGTTTGTATGTGAGGCCATCTGTCCAGACGCTATCATAGGCCTGGACGATATCCAAGGAGATCGTATCCACGACGGGGAAGAAATCCGTGTAGGTAGAGAGTTTTGATGTTCGAGGTGTACAATCAAGCGTTTGAGTATTATTCTTTCCATAGTTTTGCAAAGGATGCTGGTTAAGTATATAGGTCGGTAAGAAGGGGTTTGGAGGCGTGACTTTCCGGGTTTGGCGAAAGGGAGCACCGTAGAGGTTTTCCACTCCACCGGAAGCAATCCTGAGGTCCAAGATTTGTTGAATAAGGACAGCAGAATATTGAGGGATTCGTCATCGAGCCCCTTTAGCAAACTGGTTGAGATTTTGTCCGGGTCTGGTGTAGTTGATTTGGCTATGGATATGGCTGTTTGGAGTTCTATGAGTTGGAGGGATGCACATAACAATAGGTTCTCTGGCGCAAAACTGACCAAAAAGGTCAGCCTGTTGTTTTACGTCGAAAATGCGTTGATTTCCCCACAATAGGATAAAATGGGAGTCAGAGATTTCGTGCGTTGAAGATTTTTGCGTAACCTAAAGATGTTTCGGGAGGAGCCTAAGGAGCAACAAAGTTGAGACCAATATTTTTTGGATTCATTTTTAATCGTGAACCGGAGGTGAGCAGTAGTTCTCTTAAACTTGATCCATAGGGCCGTGTCACCTGAGCGTTTTGCCCGCCTCCATGATTGTTTTATCTTCC